AAGGTGAATGTAGTTGGTTGGATTAGGACTAACTATTGTAACCAAGCTGGTAGTGGGAAGAATAGCAGTAGAGAGAAACATTCTAATCAATTTAAAATCAGCTTTCTGATCGGAGTGGGCAAACACATGAACAGTTCGGGATTCTGTGGGTTTGTAGAAGTCAGGAGCTCTGTGAACAGAGCTGTGCTGTGCTAAGAATGGCTGGTGGCTGTAGGGGAAGGCATCCAACAGGCAGTTTTCCCTGAGTTCAGCCACAGATGGCTGCCTGGAGGACTCTGTGTGCAGTAGTCCCGTGGTCTCCCGTGGTCTGCGGTGTTTATAGTTAGGTGTTGTCGCTGATGCCTATGTGTGTCTCAGATGGAAGCTTTTTTCTCTCTGCCAGAGGATCAGGTGAATGTGTACTTAAAAACTTGAACAGTGATTACTGTGTATTCACATAATTTTGGTGCACGGAAAGGACTACAGAGATTTTAGTTAAATTATTCCTTTAGTGGAGGGAGAGTGTCATCCAGGGAGAAGCTAGAAAGAAAAATCTTAAGGAAAAAAAAGTCAAAAGCAGTGTTAAGAAGAATATGAGACAGCAAGAGCATGAGAAGGAATTCTCTATTATTAGATCCTTATATCTTTAGAGATGGCCCCTAAAGAGGTCCACATCCTAATCCAGAACTTGTGCATATGTGACCTTCCATGGCAGAAGGGACTTTGAAGATGTGACCAAGATGAAGATGACCTTGAGATGGGGGAGATGAGGAGCTGCAGACCTTTTCTGGCTGTGGTCAGAGGGAGGGGACTGTGGAGGAAGCGTTGGGTACAGTGCTGCTGGCTTTGAAGATGCACGGAGGGGCCTCTAGCAGCTGGAGAAGGCCAGCCTAGAGCTTCCAGAAAGCAGCACATCCCTGCCAACGCCTTGATTTTAGCCCAGTGAGACCCATTTCAGACTTGTGATCTTACAGAACTGAGAAGTGTACATTGTGTTCTATTAAGCCCATGAGTCTGTGGCCGTTTGTTATAGCAGCAATAGGGAGCAAATAGACACAGGTGTGCTGTCTCAGAGGACTTTGGGGCCCACTTCTGGGTGAGTGGTGACCCAAGAGAAGGGATGCACTGCTGTTGGAGGGCAGGATTTGGATCTCCACGCCTTCTTTGTGGTAGGAATGACGGTAGGCTTCTCCCGTGCAGGTGGGAGCAGAGGACAGTAACAACTGTTGGTTTCCTCACCATGACACTGTGAAGAGTATCTGAAAGAGAGACACAGAAGAATAACCGCTGGACATTGTAACAAACAGATCAGGAGTGACGGGTGCACTTGTGAATCCTGGGAGGAAGGAAGGAGATGAGGACTGTTGACAACACTGTGTGTGGTTTTAGATCTCTCTCGTAATAAAGAAATCTTGCAAATCACTGTGAGAAGACAGCTGGACATAGCAGATATCTCTTGTTACCTTGTTGCCACCTTTCCCACAGACTGGTCACGCTTGTGCATGTGTTCAGCATCACCTCTCTCTTTCTAGACTAAGGCTTTGGAGGGTAAGGGTTCTGTCTTACCCATCATATGTAGGCTAGGTGCGTGCGTGTCCACTGACCGAATGAGGGAGTGAACATTCAAGAGTGAATGAACACGAAGGAATGGTTTGTAGGATTTCTTTCTACCAGGGAAAGGGTCATTATTTCTTTCCAGAGCATTGTCTAAAAGTTAAGTGACCAAGTTGAACCAAGCAGAATCATAAAAAGAACTTTTAGAAACGAAATTACAGTGTCATCTCACTAGTATGTAATCAGGGAAACGTAAATTACAGTAACAACGAAATGCCCCCTCCCCCTTCTGTGGTCCGTCACATTGATAAACACTTTAAGATTGACTTTATCCAGCATCAGCATGAGATGAAGGACAGTCTCTTAACATTATGTGCCAAGTATAATTGGTGTAGTTTTCCTGGTGGCCGTACTTCCAAAACGGCACATGTTTAAGTAGCTTCGGACCCAGAGCGTCTGTTTCTAAGCAGCACTGCTGCACACGTATGAGACCAGCTAAAAGCTCATGCATTGTGTTGCGTGCATCTCCACTTCCCTTTCTCGCCTAGAGCAGGGAAGCCAACAAGAAAAGAACTGTCCACCAGTAGTGGAATGGCTCTGGATGCTGCGTGCTATGTTCCTGATAAGATAGAAGCATGGTGCACACACTGGCTAGAGTCTTTCATCCTCAAGAAGAATTCTTTCCCTGTGAATAGCTCATGTGAAAATTAATCAGGAAAATTATATATTTCCAAATTCTGGGATATGATATAGACGAGTAAAGGGATATTTCAAAGTAGCCAAGTGTAGGTTTATATACTCTAGGGTGGGATTGTCATGGGACATCAAAGCCAGGATAAGAAATTTAAATTTAATTCAGCTGCCATGAGTGGCATATTATAAACGCTTGTCCTGTTAGCTCCCTAGAGATCCTTTTCTAAATGTACATATTCCAGAAATAATACATGCATACATTTCCATATGGTAGTAATATTGGTTTTTTTTTTTTGAGTATGCATTCCTTACTAAATATTTAGTTCTCAAAGTTATTTTTCAGTTACGCAGAACCAAATATTTGGTTCTCAAAATTATTTAAGTTACTGAGTGTATGTACTGAGCTTCAAATATATAAGTCCTTGTATATTCATAATCTTGGCTGCCATTCAAACTGAGTCAGCAATGAGATATTCAGGAGTTCTAGAGAAATAGGACAGAACACAAAATGGAAGCATAATGAAATGTCTGTGTGTTTATTGCTCTTAATTTTTTAGTGGAAACTGTAAGTTGCAACCTTGTTTAGTCAGGAAGTCCTGCAGGATGGGAACTCTTTGTTCAACAAAACCAAACCTGAGGTCATTCTGTGTGTCTTCAGGTAGTGTGATCCAGTGAATGGACTAAAATTGTATCTATCCCATAAAACTCCAGATTGGGAGCCTGCTTTTTCCTTGGGCTCCACAGCTCTAGACTGAGCGTCTGCACACTTGCCTCTGTGCAGGTGGGTGCTGTGTGCCCATTACTTGAGAGGTCATGAAGATAGCTTTTGCTAGGGGTCATCAGGGGAGGCATCTGGAGGGGTGGGATTTCTCCCAGACTGTGATGCCACCACATGGAGCGGTAAGAAACCGCTTGTGCCCAGAGGATAGACCCACCGAGACAGACGGTTGGGGACAGATGGGAACATGAACTGCGACCCTAACAAGAGAGAGGTGGCTCTGGAATTTGCTAGCGGTGAGCTGCTGTGGAGTAAAGAGAAGACGTGCTAAACCCCAGCCTTCGTGAGGGCGGCCGGCGTTGGTGTGCACTTGGTCGTGCGCTGGCAGAGCTGGGACAGGAAGACAAAGCGCTTTTGTGGGAGTTTGAAAGAGGCGCCAGTGCCTGTCCTGTGCAGCTCAGGGATTTGTGGTGCTGGCAAGGAGAAGCTGCAGAAATTGCCTCTGCGAGGTTTACTAGAAACGGAGGTCTCTTCCCCGAGGCAGAGTGCACGAGGTGAAGACTAGGGGGCCGGCTGGGTTTCAGCTCCCGCTGCCGCTTGGCTGGGTGCCTTTGGGTAGGCACAGACTGCAGCGTCCTTCACGGTGGCCCCATCAGAAATTCCGGGCCTTGAGTCCAAAAGCGAGGAAGGACATTGATGCCTACTTCAGTTTCACCCAGACTTCTGTAGGCTGCACACTTTCTTCTTGTCCCACGGAGAACTCGTCTGCTCCACTGAGTGGCCTTTGACTCCTCCAGCCCGGTCCTTTGTCTGTGCTTTTCCCCGATGCCACGTTGACTCCTTCCCCTGTCACTCTCCCATGCTTGATACACAACCTTCTCCTGGGATCCAGTAGTCTGAAAAGGAGGCAGGCCACAGGCAGGTGCCACACGATGCCTTTAGCATGGACACACTGGGTCCTTGACAGGTTTTGCATATATAATACGTGTTACTTATCTTTACTCATGAGTAGGGGATGGGAACATCCTTATTATCAACAGCGTCATGCCCCAGTATAGAAATACTTAGTGTGTGTAGGAACTTTTTAAGATGTATCTTATATTACAAGTAATATGTTACTTTCACTTAATTGCTAATTTTAAAAAAACTGATTTTCTTTAGCAGTCATTTTCATGTTAATATCAGCATCATTAAAAATTATGTATGAATGGCCTGAAGCACTGAGAAGAGTGCAGTGGATTATGATTAGCACACCCTCATGTAAGGAAGCAGATGGTCTCTTATATTCCCATGGGAGGCTTCCATATGTGCTGCCCATTTACATCCAGGTGCACAGTGTGACTTCTACAACCGTTCAGGCACAGGTCAAGACTCGGGGCTACCGCTCCTTTCCTAGTCCCAGGATAAGCTTCATCTTTGTGAGGCAGCCTTCCCTGCCTGCCGCCTTCATCTCTGAACTCAGGGGCACATTGTTAGGAGCATTAGGTTTGGGGACTATTTTAGATTGCTGCATTGTAATCTATAGAGAGCACGTAGCAGATTGGGTAGGCCCAACTTCAAGTAACTTCTCATACATCATTGATATTATCAGAAGCGTGGCCTTCATTGTATGTTTCTAAATGTGTTTCCTAAGAAATGACATTGAGTTGCAGCCTGATCTAGAATAAGATACCGTCCTGGGTTCAGAAAGTAGAACCCCCTCCTCAGGTCTAGTTCTCAGCAAGTGACATCCAGAGGGTGACCGGAATGCTTTGTCAGTTTCTGGGGATGATGCAGAGGTAGAGCTGCAGAAATGTATTTTAAGTTTCCATGCCTTGTTTATCACTAAAGAAAAGGGAAGAGCCTCGTTTTGTGTTTTTTCAAAAACTTTTCCTTGTTCATAAAAATACTATTTGAGAAAAGATTCCTAAGAAAAATTAAGTAATTTATTTAACTTGATACTCTTTTTACCAAAGATTTCTGATAACTAACTAAAAGAAATGAACATTGCATTAATTTTTAGCATACAGTTTTTTTTTTGTTTATAACAGTCATTTTTGTGGGGGGTATGTTTTAGGGCATCATTCAGAAGATAGTGGACAGTCACAAAGTAAAGCACGTGGCCTGCTATGGATTTCGCCTCAGTCACCTGCGGTCAGAGGAGGTTCACTGGCTCCATTTGGATATGGGTGTCTCCAATGTGAGGGAGAAGTATGAACTTGCACACCCACCAGAGGAGTGGAAGTAAGATTACATACCTACTTTGGTGTGACTCACACTTGATTTGTTTTGCATATTAAATCACACACAAGAGGATGAATGTCTTTGCTTAATTTTCATACTGATTGTAATTACGACTCCTGTATTAAATAAAATTGGCTGGGAATGATTAACCAGTGATCTCTTCTAGACTTCTGTTCAGTCTGTCTTTGTGGCACCACCGACTTTGGACTGCCTGAGCTTCTGATGGGTTCTGTGGTGATGGCCTTTGGCTAGTCACACTTCTCTTGTCAGGACTACTTTGTTTCAGCCTCGGCTCGAAGAGCTCAATTCCTCATTCTTTTCCTTTCTGTCCTGTTAGCATCCTTTTGTGCAGCAGGACTTCATGAGCCCTGAGGAGACCACACCTAATTATCTCATTAATGGGCAGCGTGGCTTGCTCCGTGGTGCCTGGTAACCTCCGGCTTGCCTGAAAAGAGTGGGTGTATATTTGACGTTCACGTACTACAGTTAAATTAGGTAGTGACTCATACTGACCTTAGTGAAACTGACATGATTGAAGGTGAATTAAAGGAATTCTCTACGATTGTCCTTTCTCTGGTTCTCTCCCCAAAAAATAATTTTTTCCACTGTTAAGCAAAGCAGCATGTGAACAGGAAATCGTATGTGTAAAACACTAGACTGTGAGAGAAGGAGGGCCCCGTGCACAGGCACTCTGGTTTTTGTAGACACAGCCACAGAGACAAAGGTGGTTGTGGATTGGGGACGGTGCTCAGTGTTGGTCACTTTCAGTCCAGCAACGTAAATTGATTAGAAGACACATTTGAAAAGAAAACATGCGAAGGTTAATAAATCTCTAGTCGAATACAATCTTGTCCTAGTTACAGTTTACCAGAGAAAGATACTTGTATTTTCAGGTTTATCAAACAGCTGGAACTGACCGAGCTGACAGGATATTCCATGATAATATAGTTGGGTTGGGTTACATCAAGGGCTAGCAGATTTGACCTCCAGCTATTTAGCCAATCAGATAAGTGTTTAAAAGCTACAAATACCTAAAAGTTAGTTAAGAATACCTGCAGCTATTTTTATTCAACATAATTCTATTACCTTCTTAATTTATATGGACGTGTCAGAGGCACACTTCATTATGCTGGTATCCCTAGTGCTCAGTAAAATGTTTGTTGAATGTAGACCTCTGAATATACACACTCTGTTTCTGTTCTTTTAAGCCAATTTATTTTGTTTAATTTCAAGTGAAGTTGAGTGGGCACTACTCTATTTCATGGAGCCTGAACCCTCAAAAGCAAGGCAGGCATAGACTGGGCGAGGTAGACCTTTGCCGAATGCAGTGCTGAACCTGACGCTGACGGAGGTGTGAAGATGACGCCATTTCTGTATCGTCACCACGGAGTGGCTGGAGCCAGGCGCCAGGCCAGCTGTGTGCTCTCTAGAATCTGTACAGTTGCAGCTTGTAAAATGTATATGTCACAGAGCTCCCCCCAATCTTATGAGGTAAAGACAGAGGAAACAGGCAACAGACTTGACTTAAGTTCCAATTACAGAGAGAGCTTGGGACACAGCTTTGACTTGAATGTAGCTGACTTCATAGTGCAGGCTTTTAAAATGAACATGCTCATCTCAGGAGGGCTACTGTAGTCTTAGCTCCGAGAGGTAGCCTGCCTGGCGGGTAAGATCAGTGAAGGTGTGTGGACAATAGGCTGGAGGCACAGGTGGTCCCTGTGGGTGTTTCTGGGAGGGTCAGGCTTCATACTGCCTGTCTGTGCACGTCAAAGGAGGTGGAGCTTAAGGTGTCAGTAAGGAACAGGAGACTATTCTAAAGGAACCAAGTAGATTTGAAAAAGGACCAAACACAAGTTCTAGAAACCACTGGATGGATAAAACAGCAAATTAGATATAGCTGAAGAATTAGTAAACAGAACTGTGGATCTGAGAAAATTTTCCCAAAAGACAGCATACAGAGATCAACATGTGGAAGGTATGAAAGCACATTATGTAACTTGAAGAATGAGAAGGTCAACCTGTTTCTGGAAGGGGCTCTCAAAGAGAATAGAAAGAATGAGGAAAAGGAAATATTCCAAAGAGATAATGGCTGAGAATTTTCTAGAAATGGCAAATACCATTAAGTCCTCAGGTGTAGGACTAACATAAGATCCCAAACAGGGTTAATGAAATAAATCTACACTTTGGTGGATTATAGTCAAATAGTGTACAAAAGAAAAAGAGATGATGCTAAAAGCAACCAGGGAAAAATTCACAATTCTCCACAGTTCTCTCCAAGTGGTGAGAAAAAGTACCTGGCAACCTGTATTTATTCGTCAGATTCAGTTACCATTCAAGAGCAGGGTGACAGAGGTACTTTCCTCAGAGAGTTTACCACCCAAGGAACCTCCTACAAATATACTTCAGGAAAAAGGAAAGTGATTTCCGAAAGAGGGTTTCATATGCAAAATAGGGTAGATAAAAATAAAGCATTAGCTCTAAAAACAAATAACAAGAAGAACTGATTTTTTATATTAAAGAAGTAGAACCCAAATAGTGGATGCATGTCAGAAGAGAGGTGATCAGAATTAAAGCTCTGTCAGCCATGTTTTAAAATTATGTATAAAAAAATAAAATTGTATATTAGGACAGCCATGAAACATTAAGAAGTAGATTTTATAACCTAAACAGGTGGGTGGGTGAGTAGGGTTAGGGAAACACAGCAAGGAGAAAAGGAAGGGACTGGAAAGCAGGACAAAGAGGAGTCACAGAATAGACTTTGGAAGTAAACTCAAGCAGACTAACAGTAACTGGTCAGAGATTGTTAGTGTGTGATTAAAAAATAGAAGCCAGCTATCTGCTCTTTATGACGGGTATCTCAAACAGTGATGTTGAAGACATTTTTATGTGACTTACAGGAAGAAACATTTTACCTTAAGACTCAGTACACATGCACATATATGTGTCTCAGAACTGTTTACATATAGGTCAAAAATGTACTTCACAAAACCATACCCAGCCTCACCAGTACACTGAAGTCAAAGGTTTTCATCCAGAGGCATTCTATTCTGTTTAACTTCATTTAGATAGATGGATGGTGGGCGGATGGATGGACGGATGGATGGATAGATAGATACAGAGAGAAAGGGATGGATGGATAGATGGATAGAAAGATGGATGGATGGATAGAGATGATGGATGGATGGATGGAAGGAAGGAAGGAAAGATGGATAGATGGCAGGTGGATGGATGGAAGGAAGGAAGGAAAGATGGATAGATGGCAGGTGGATGGATGGAAGGAAGGAAGGAAAGATGGGTAGATGGCAGGTGGATGGATGGATAGATGGATAGAAGGATGGATGGTAGGTGGATGGATGGATGGAGAGATGGATGGTGGGTGGACGGATGGTTGGATAGATGGATAGAAGGATGGATGGATAGAGAGAGAGAGATGGGTGAATGGATAAATGAATAGGGATAGATGGATGGGTGGATAGATAGAAAGAAGAATTTTCCTACCTTCTAACCAGGGGGACGAGGGGATTGGTATTACTTTATTAATATCCTATTTAAAAAGTTTCAAAACAGAAAAGCATTCTGAGGGATATGGAGGGCAACCACATAGTAATAACAGGCTCGTTTCACAAGAATTTATGAAGAGTAGAAATGGATGGAACTATTAAACTCGTAAGTTCCTAAAGACATTTCTCAAAATATATAAAGCAAAAATAATAATAAATGAATAAAACTTACCTCTCCTAATAATTAAAAAGAAAACAAACAATAGTAAGTAAGCAATTTTTAAATTATGTTTTTCACTATTCCTTTTAATGTGGAAATACGGAGTCCTGCACATGACAGTGTGTTAATTAGTTTGAAAACACTTTCCTAAATAGTTCATGGTTCAAAGTAAAACTCACAGTTTGCTTAGGGTCTGGCTGTGCTGCCTTGTTCCGCACCTCTCATGGGCTCTTCCCCTTCGTCCTCCAGTCCACCTTCCTGCAGGAGCTGACGCTGTCAGTCATTTCTTACCAGATGACGTTCTGCGCTTCGCTTCCTGCCTGCCCAATCCTATTTTATTGACCATTCACTGTCTTCCCCTGCTTAGCATTTAAATTTGGGGGCTGCTCCAGTGACCTTTTTTGCTCTTTCTTCTCTCTGTAGACCTGCCTTTGGCATTGAAATCACACTTGCATTGGCTAGATACAGGAAACCAATAAACCAGTTACTGCCTAACCCAGACAAAAGTCCTAAAAGCTGGTGGCTTGGGGGAGCAGTAATAGAAGGAGGGAGAAGCCGTTGTACAAGGATTTTTTAAGACAGAGCTCATAGGATTTTCTGAAGAGTCTTTAAAAATACACACATCCAATGAAATATATAAATCATTTCTGCAGAAGCTTCTAGTACCTCCTCATCATACCTTCAGCCAACTCCAGAGTCCTGATCATCTCTCAGCCCCGTCTGCTCTCGCTCTCGCTCCCCTTCCTGTGCCCCAGTGGCTCGTGCTCTGACATTTCTGTGCTTCCTTTTCGGAGCTGCTGGGTCAGGATCTTCTCTGCTGCCAGCTTTCTTGCCCGGTGAATGAGACAGACTTTTATCTTGGAGAACTTTCCACCTGCTCCACCCTAGCCACATGGCTGTCTTACTGGTTCTTGAACAAGCCAAGCATATTGCTCCTTGGGGTCTTTGTACCTGGTGGGGCTTTGGCGAAGGTGCTCCTCTGCCATTTCCAGCATGGCTTGGACCTCCCATCAGGTAGGGCAAGTGCTCCGCTGTCCCCTTTTCTGTCCCCGCCATTCTGTCTGTAGGGCCCGCTGCCAACCCACCGGCTGACTTTCCTCCCTCAGGGACTTGGTCTTACTCCCTGATCTGTTCCTGGTTTCTCGTTAGTTGTGCCTGGTAGGCACCCAGTAAAAACTTTTTAAGTAAAAATTGAATTAGTGGTAGTGAAAGTGTAGAATAATCCAAGAGGCAACACAGTATGATGGAATGGTAACGTGTATTCATTCCACTAGTGTGTG